GTTTTGTTGTAATCCGCTTTCCCTTGCAAAAAACAATAGAAAATGACATTTCTTGTTCTAATATAATCAAATTTCAAGAATCCCTTGCAAAAAATAAGGTAAAGTGGACATTCGCGCGCGCAAGACGAAATCCTTCCAAAACCTTAGTGTTCGCAGCGATTTTAACATAAAAACATCAAAAAACCAATGGTTTTTCAACAAAAAATTGTCAAAATCTCATCCCGCGCGCTCTTGCGGATTCGTAGGAAACCCAACACTTTTTAAACATTTCTGTCAAACGGGCTTTTGCGAGCAACTTTTTCGAACTTCTGCGACAACGGTTGCGCACCTGCCAGGGCCATCATCCCTGTCAAATAATACCATGCGGGACACATTCGTTTTTTCTTCGCGCGCGCACGCCGAAATCTCCAAAAACCATTGGGCTTCTATGCCCTAAAGATGTGATCAACTATCTTGTGAGTACGTATCATGTGTATCATGTGTATCATGTACCATATGCATCATATGCAACAGATGTTCTGTGGAAGGCTTAACAACTTCTGTGGGTTAACAAGGCTTAACAACTTCTGTGGGTGTACGAACGTAGGCTTAACAACTTCTGTGGGTGTGTACTCCACGCCAGTGTAGTAGCCACGGTCGTCCGCAGGCCACGAAGTGAAGTGTCCGAACGTCATAGGGCGGGAAGCTGGGTGTGGGTGGTGGCGAAGAGTCGTGTGGATATTTGGTAGAGCTTGCACTGCCCCCCCACAAAGTGGGGGTATTGGCTGGCGTCGCATGAAAACCCTGGCACTGGTGAGAACACTGAGCGTTCGGGTAAAGTGATTGTTGTTGTTGTTGTTGTTGTTGTTGTTGTTGTTGTTGTTGTTGTTGTTGTTGTTGTTGAATGCTCAGTTCCAAATCATATTTTTTGTTGATCTCCGGAAACGGTTTCGCGCGCTCTCGCCTCGACGCCGGCTACATTTTCTCTGAAAACGAGGCTCCCGCTCGAGCGTTGGCTTGAGCCTAAATGTTGGCCCTTGGAGGCCCAGCTACGACAACAACGGCTCCCGCTCGATACTTCCTCACAATTTACCCCGAGACACCCTGGCTAGAGAGGCCCCCGAACTCAGGAACGGTGCTCTCGCTCGAGACTTCGCAATTCATTAAGTTGGCGGAGGCCCAGCTACGACGACAAGGACTCTTGCTCGATATTTCCTCACGGTTTACTCCGAGAGCCGAGAGCCGAGAGCCCCTGGCCAGAGAGGCCCCGAACTCAGGAACGGCGCTCTCGTTCGAGATTTCTTCGCAAATCAGTCAGTGGCCGACAGAGAAGAGTTTCTCCCCGAAAGGGGGTGCAATCGAAGACGAAGTGGGCGGGTTTAGAGGGTTGGGGTATACGGAATGCAAAACACGCGTGCCAGTAAGAGCGAACAGTTTTACAATGGTTGTTGTTGTTGTTGTCGTTGTCGTCGTTGTTGTTGTTGTTGTTGTAGTTGTTGTTGTTGTTCTTGTTGTTGCTATGGTTGTTGCTGTTGTTGTCGTTGTCGCCCTTGCTGTTAGTGCTGCTCTTGTTGGCTTGCTTGTATTCTCATTTCTGAAGAATAAGTATTGTTGATCCCCCCTGTCTGGTGCACATTGTTACATTGTTTTTTGAATTGAAGTGCCTTTCCTGGGGCTCGCACCCCGTTTTTTGATCAGGGAAAGTCTTGAGCGTCAAACTGCGCCCCTGGCCCCCGAGTTACAGCAACAACGGCTTCCGCCTGATACCTCCTCACAATTGATTGAGAAATCAGGCTTTCGCTTGAGACTTCCTTGCAATTTATTTAGACATCGCGATCTCGCCTGAGATTTCTTCACAATTTATTCAGCTGCCGCTCCTCGACACTCAAGAATCGCGTTCTCGCTTTGGACCTCCTCATGATTTCCTTGGGAGTCGCGCTCCCGCTAATTACTTCCCGGCGATCCAAGCAGGACTCACGCTTCAACGACCCGCCCGCTCGACCCGCCCGTCGGGGCCTGCACGCCCGACCAGCCCGTTAGGGACTGCAGTCGCCGCTCGCTGCCCCTTCGCCCGCCTTCGATGCCCCTCGTTGCCCGTACTGGTTCCGCGGTCGCCTTCGCTCGGTGCTCTTCGTGGCCCCGTTGCTGCCTTCAGTGGCCCCGTCGCTACCCTTTGTGGCCCCGCATTATTTGCCCTTCGTGGCCCCCGCTCGCGCGCGCCCGTCGTGGCCCCATATGCATGCTCTTCGTGGCCCCGCTGTCGCCCTTCGTGGCCATCTTGCTGCCGTTCGTGGTCCCTCTGCTGCCCTCAAGTGGCCCCGCTGTCGCCCTCTGTGGCCCCATTTTCGTATGCTCTTCGTGGCCCCCGCTTGCTCGCGCCCGTCGTGGCCCCATATGCATGCCCTTCGTGGCCCCGCTGTCGCTCTTTTGTGGCCCCCTCGCTGCTCTTCGTGGCCCCGGTGCTACACTCAGCGGCCCCTTTGCTGCCTTCAGTGGCTCCGCTAGCCCCGCATTGTATGCCCTTCGTGGCCCCCGCTCGCTCGCGTCCGTCTTGGCTCCATATGCATGCCCTTCGTGGCCCCGCTGTCGCGATTGTGGCCCCATACACGTAAGCCCTTCCTGGCCCCGTTGCTATCCTCAGTGGCCTCGTCGCTGCCCTCTATGGCCCCGCATTCTATGATCTTCGTGGCCCCCGCTTGCTCTCGCCCTTGGTGGCCCCCCTCTTGCTACTCTCTGTCGTGCTCCATCCTCTTCCTTCCCCCTTGTCCCTCCTTCCATCCGACCTCTCCTCCCCTGCCTCATGGGCTGCACGAAATACACGTTGCAGGTAAGAAAGACACGTACACCCAAGGGGTTGCGATCGAAGACGAAGAGGGCGGGTATCGAGGGTTTGCGATATACGTGTTGAATAGCACGCGAGCAGATAAGAGCGATCAGTCTAAAACTGATTATTATTATTCTTATTGCTATTTTTATTGTTATTGTTGTAGTAGAATCTCAGTTATTTAACATCTATTATTGTTGGACCCTCTACGGGCGCCCTGGCGCTCTCGCCTCGGCGCCAGCTGCATTTCCTGTTGCCCCCCAGTTTACAACAACAACGGCTCCCGCCTGATACGATTCCCAAATCGCGCTCTCGCGCAGGACTTCTTTGCAATCGATGCAGACATCGCGCTCTTGCGTGTTATTTCCTCGCATTTTTTTCGGACGCCGCGCCCTCGCTCTTGCATGGGCCTTTTTAACGATTTACTTGGGAATCGCGCTGTCGCTCGAGACTTCGTCGCGATCCATGCAGGACGCACGCTTCAGCAACCCGCCTGTTCGACCTGGCCGCCTGGGCCCGCCTTCCCGACCCGCCTGTTCGGTTCTACCCGCCCGATTTGCCCGTCTGGTTCTGCCACGTGTTTTCTGCTCCCAGCCCCCCTCCTACTACTTTCGTGCTCCATCCCCCTCCCTCCCCCTTGTCCCTTTCTTCCGTCTGTCCTCTCTTCCCCTGCCGTAGGGGCTGCATGAAATACACGTTGCAGGTAAGAAAGATATACCCCCAAGGGGGTTACGATCGAAGACGAGGGCGGATATCGATGGTTTGCGAGATACGTGTTGAATAGCACGCGAGCAGATAAGAGGGATCAGTCTTAACATGATTGTGGTTGTTGTTGTTGTTGCTGCTGCTGTTGTTGTTGCTGTTGTTGCCGCTGTTGCTGTTGTAGTTGTTTGTTGTTTTTGTTGTTGTTGTTATTGTTGTTGTTGTTGTGGTTGTTGTTGTTGTTGTTGTTGTTGTTGTTGTTGGTGTTGGTGTTGTTGTTGCTGCTGCTGTTCTCGTTGTTGTTGGGTGAATCTCAACTCTTAAACAATGATTATCGTTGGACCCCCTACAGGCGCCCTGGTGCTCTCGCCTCGGCACCCGCTGCATTCTTGTGCTCACGCTCAGGCGTTTCGGGGGACCGCCGAAGCGCCCCCCCAACAATAACAACGCTCCCGCTCGATACCTCCTCTTTCTTCTACTCTTGACCTGGGCTCGTGCTCGCCGCCGAAAGCCGGCTTGCCAGCAAAACAGGCGCTCCCGCTCGATACTTCATTGCTTGTTACTCTGGACCAGCGCTCCCGCCCCAGCGCCGCAGACAGCCCCCCTCTGCAAACAATGGCGCTCCCGCTCGATACTTCATCCGCTTGTATTCAAACCTCCCAGACGCTCCCTGCTGAATCTTCAGTATTACAAGGATTCCCCAATTAGAGCTGGCCTCTGTAGGGGTCCTAGCGGATTCATTTGGTTAGGTTAGCCGCGTCGCCGATTTCGGCGGCACGCCCGGGTGCCCGGGTGCCCGGGTGCCGAGGTGCCCAGGTGCCTGGGTGCCCCATAGCCCTATAATCGTATAGCCCTATAGTCCTATAGCCCCATAGCCCTATAGCCGTATAGCCCTATAGCCCTGTAGCCCTGTAGCCCTATAGCCCTATAGCCCTATAACCCTGTAGCCCTACAGCCCTATAGCCCTATAGCCCCATCGCCCTAGAGCCCTAGAGCCCTATAGCCCTATAGCCCTATAGCCATGTAGCGCCCCAAAACCACATTTCCATATAGCCCAATAGCCCCGTAGCCCTATAGCCCTATAGGCCTATACCCCCATAGTCCTATAGCCCTACATATAGCCCTATAGCCCTATAGCCCTAAGTTCTATAGCCCTGTAGCCCTATAGGCCCCATAGGCCAATAGCCCCATCGCCTTATAGCTCTGTAGCCCTATAGCCCCAATAGCTTTACAGCCCCAATAGGCCTAGTAGTTCTAGTTGACCTCACAGACCTTCGAAAGTATTACGTTGGTGCCCTCACCTCCGTCGCCGTCGTCGTCCAAAAGGCGCAGCATCAACTCATTTCCTGGTCAGACAACAAAGTCTCTGACGGGGCTTTCTCTGGTATCATTGTTATTGTTGGACACCCTAAATCCGCCATGGCCTTCCTTCCTCCCTCCCGCCCTCCCTCCCCTGCTGGAGTGTTCCAGTGCCCCTCCCCCCTGTCCCTGCCAGGTTCCGGACCCTGAGTATCTGGCCGGTTACCAGAAGTGGGTGGAGCAGTTCGGGGTCCGCACTGTGGTGCTCCCGGCCCACGGGGGTTGGGGCAGGGCGCTCAGGAGAGGGAGAATTTGTTTACATGAGCGCCAGCCGAAATTTGGGTCTGGGGGTTCGTAGGAGCGGGTTGGCCTAAGGTGGGGTGAGGGAACGAAGCCAGCTGGAGGGTTACGTTTCCTCTATTCAGGGGTCGTCCATTGCGATTTTCTTCTATACGAACTCCTGATCGTTCGCTTTAACTCAATATGATATGCTGGGGTACCTCGAGAAAAACTTGAGCCCAAATGGGCCGCAGACAGGGGAAGAGAGAGAGAGAGAGAGAGAGGCGGGCAGGCGAACGGGCCCCCCCAGCCTGTCCCAGCCACTTGAAACCTTACGTTTTGCTACGCCCGAACTCTTACAAACCTTCAGACTTCTGGGCCATCGTCTCGTCAGCTTCGTCGTCGTCCTTGCAGTCGCTCATGTTCAGCTCATCGTAGTTTGGGAAGGATTTTCCTCCGTACGTCACCTGGAGTCTACGGCCTCCATGGTCGGACGAGATCTCCCGCTGGCTGTCCACGTGGCGATGCACCTCCTCCTCCGCTAGGTCTGGGCCCCTTCTGCACATATTGTGGAACCATCTGTTGTATCTCCGTCTCGTTTTTGTTTTATTGTGCCATGCCCTTCTGTCATTATCTTTGGCAAGCCTTGGGTGAACTTCCCCTTCAGAGATGCCGCGCGCGGTCATCACTTCCTGTACCAACGGGCGGCAACTGTTCAGAGAAAAGTCACCTGGCAACGTATGGGATACACCGCTCGTCAGATTGGAAGTGCCCATAGGGAGGGGTGGCCCGAGAGGGCTCCAGCTTAAGGCTTCCTCGCAATTCACACGCAGCCGAGGCTCCCGCCTGAGACTTTCGCCATACTCAAGCCTGGAGAGGCCAAAAGTGACGACAATTACAGGACTCCGATGACCCGCTCGGATTACTCACGTGAGCTGCGGGCCCCAGAAGGAGGGGCCTCCCGCCTGAGACTTCCTCGCAATTCACTCGCAGACGAGGCTCCCACATGAGACTTCCGCCATACTCACGCTTGGAAAGGCCAAAAGTGACGACAATTACTTCCGATGACCCGCTCGGATTACTCACATGAGCTGCGGGCCCCAGAAGGAGGGGGCTCCTGCGTGAGATCTCTTTGCAATTCACTCACGGATGAGGCTCCCGCGTGAGACTTCCGCAATATTCAAGCTTGGGTAGGCCAAACGTGATGACAATTACAAAATTCCGATGTCACGCTCGGATTACTCATATGATCGGCGGGCCCCATAAGGAGGTGGCTCCCGCCTGAGACTTCCTCGCAATCCATTCACAGACGGGGCTCCCGCCTGAGACTTCCTCCATTTTCAAGCCGCAGGAGCCCAAAATTGATGACTGTTACAGGATTCCGATGGCCCACTCGGATTACTCATATGATCTGCGGGCCCCATCGGGGGTGGCTACCCCTTGAGACTTCCTCGCCATCCACTCACAAGCGAGGTATCCGCTTGAGATTTCCGCCATACTCAAGCTTGAGGAAACCACATTTGACGACAGTTACAGAACTCCGATGGCCCGCTTGGATTACGAATCTGGGCTGCGGGCCCCACAGGGGAGGGGTTCCCGCTTGAGACTTCTTCGCAATTCACTCACAGACGAGGCTCCCGCCTGAGACTTCCGCCATATCCAAGCTTGAAGAGGCCACCAGTGACGACAATGATAAAATTCCGATGACCCGTTCGGGTTACTTATATGAGGTGCGGGCCCCATAGGGGGGGAGCTCACGCATTATATTTTTTGCAATTCACTAACGGACGAGGCTCCCGTGTGAGACTTCCGCAATACTCAAGCTTGAGGAAGCCAACATTGACGACAGTTACAGGATTCCGATGGCCCGCTCGGATTACTCGCATGAGCTGCGGGCCCCATAGGGAAGGGGCTCCCGCTTGAGACTTCCTCGCAATTCACTCACGGACGAGGCTCCCGCCTGAGACTTCCTCCACCTTCAAGCCGCAGGAGCTCAAACATGATGACAGGTACAAGAGTTCGATGGCCCGCTCGGATTACTCACATGAGCTGCGGGCCTAAAACAAGGGGCTCCAGCCTGAGAGTTCCTCGCAATTAACTCAAAGACGAGGCTCCCGCTTGAGACTTCCGCCATACTTAGGTCTCAGGTGCCCAAGCGTGACGACAGTTACAGGATTCCGATGACCCGTTTGGATAGGTGACATAGGCTGCGGGCCCCATAGGGAGGGGCTCCCGCCTGAGACGTCCTCGCAATTCACTCATTGACGAGGCTCCCGCTTGCGACTTCCGCCATTTAAGCTTGAAAAGGCCAGGAGTGAGGACAGATACAGGATTCCGATGGCCCGCTCGGATTAGTAACATGATCTGCGGGCCCCATGGGGAGTGAACTCCCGCCTGAGACGTTCTCGCAATTCAGTCACAGACGAGGCTCCCGCCTGAGACTTCCGCCATACTCAAGCTTGAAGAAGAGGCCAACAGTGACGACAGGTACAGGATTCCGATGGCACCTTCGGATTAATATCATGAGCTGCGGGCTCCCGCCTGAGATTTCCTCGCAATTCGCTCACAGACGAGTTTCCCGCCTGAGACTTCCGCCATACTCAAGCTTGAGGAGGCCAACAGTGACGACAGTTACAGGATTCCGATGGCCCGCTCGGCTTAGTAACCTGAGCTGCCGGCCCCATAGGGAGGGGTCTCCCGCCCGAGACCTCCTCGCAATCCATTCACAGACGGGGCTCCCGCCTGAGATGAGTGAGTGAGTGAGTGAATGAGTGAGTGTGTGAGTGAAGATGATTATGATGAGTGTGTACAGGAGTGAATGTGCGAATGATGACGACGATGGGGATGATAGTGTGCGTGAATGGGTGAGTGGGTGAGTGTGAGTCATGATGGTGTGTGTGTGTGTGTGTGTGAGTGTTTGAGTGAATGTGCGAAAAGAGAAGACAGATATAGAGAGAGGGAGAGAGATAGAGAGAGAGAAAACGATATCTATATATATATATAGAGATATAGAGACAGAGAGAGACAGAGAGAGAGAGAGAGAGAAAAAAAAGAGAGCGTGAGAGATAAAGAGAGACAGAGAAAAAGAGAGAGAGAGAGAGAGAGAGAAATAACGAGAACGAGAGAGAGGCAGAGAGAGAGAGAGAGAGGGCGAGCGAGAGAAACAAAGAGAGAGAGAGAGAGAGAGATAGAAAGAGAGAGAGAGAGAGAGAGAAAGTGGGATGAGGAGGAGAGATCCTGCGCGGAGGGTGTGCCGAGAAAACAAGAGCCCCACTTTGGATGTGGGGAAGAAGCCAAGCGTGACGTCAGTTACAGGATTCCGATGGTCCGCCCGGATTATTCACGTGAATTGCAGGCCCCATAGGGAGGGCGCTCCCGCCTGAGACTGTCTCGCAACTCACTCACAACCGAGGCTCCCGTCTGAGACTTCCGCCATACCCAAGCTTGAAGAGGCCAAGAGTGACGACATTACAGGATTCCGATGGCCCGCTCGGATTACTCCCATGAACTGCGGGCCCCATAATGGGGGGGGGGGCTCCCGCCCGAGACTTCCTAGCAATTTTTCTCACAGACGAGGCTCCCGCCTGAGACTTCCCAAGCTTGAAGAGGCCAACAGTGACGACAGGTACAAGATTCCGATGATCCGCTCGGTTTAGTAACATGAGCTGCGGGCCCCATAGGGAGGGGGCTCCCGCGTTATATTTCCTCGCAATACACTCACACACGAGGCTCCCACCTGAGAACTCCGCCATACTCAAGCTTGAAGAGGCCAAAAGCGACGACATTCACAGGATTCCGATGGCCCGCTCGGATTGCTCACATGAGCTGCGGGCCACATAGGGAGGGGGCTCCCGCGTGAGACTTCGTCGCAATTCACTCACGGACAAAGCTCCCGCCTGAGATGAGTGAGTGAGTGAATGAATGAGTGAGTGTGTGAGTGAAGATGATTTTGATGAGTTTGTACATGAGTGAATGTGCGAGTGATGACGACGTTGGTGATGATAGTGTGCGTGAGTGGATGAGTGGGTGAGTGTGAGTGATAGTGGTGTGTGTGTGTGTGTGTGTGAGTGATCGAGTGATTGTGCGAAAAGAGGGAGAAAGAGAGAGAGAGAGAGAGAGAGAGCGAGAGAGAGAGAGAGAGAGAAAGAGAGAGAGAGAGAGAGAGAGAAAGAGACAACGAGAGAGAAAGAGAGAGAGAGAGAGAGAGAGAGAGAAAGGGGGGGGGGAGGAGGGGGAGAGATCCTACGCGGAGGGTGTGCAGAGAAAGCAAGAACCCCGCTTTGGATGTGGGGAAGAAGCCAAGCTTCACGACAATTTCAGGATTCCGATGACCCGTTCGGATCAGCCACGTGAGCTGCAGGCCCCATAGGGAGGGGGCTCCCGCCTGAGATTTCCTCGCAATTCACTCACAGACGAGGCTCCCGCCAGAGATTTCGGCCATACTCGAGCTTGAAGAAGCCAAAACTGACGACAGTTACAGGATTCCGATGGCCCGCTCGGATTACTCACATGAATTGCGGGCCCCATACGGGGGGGGGGGGGCTCCAGCCTGAGATTTTTTTACAATCCACTCAAAGACGAAGCTCTCGCCTGAGACTTCCGCCATACTCAACTTTGAGGAGGCCAAAAGTGACGACAGTTACAGGATTCGGATGGACCGCTCGGATTACTCACATCAGCTGCGGGTCCCATAGGGAAGGGGGCTCCCGCCTGAGATTTCCTCGCGATTCGCTCACAGACGAGGCTCCCACCAGAGACATCGGCCATACTCAAGCTTGAAGAGGCCAAAAGCGACGACATTTACATGATTCCGATGGCCCGCTCGGATTGCTCATAGGATCTGCGGGCCCCATAGGGAGGTGGCTCCCGCCGGAGACTTCCTCGCAATTCGTTCACCGACGAGGCTCCTGATTGGGCGGGTAGGTGGGTGAGTGAGTCACTGGGCGAGTGAGTGAGTGGTGATGATGGGTGTGTAAATGAGTGAATGTGCGAGTGGTGACGACGATGGTGATGACAGTGTGCGTGAGTGGGTGAGTGGGTGAGTGTGAGTGATGATGGTGTGTGTGTGAGTGATTGAGTGAGTGTGCGAAATGAGAAGAGAGAGATGTAGGGAGAAAGAGAGAGAGAGAGAGAGAGAGATAGAGAGAGAGGGGGGGGGGAGGAGGATAGATCCTGCGCGGAGGGTGTGCAGAGAAAACAAGAACCCCATTTTGGATGTGGGGAATACGACTACGAATGATAATAGTTTTACTAGTATTAATAACGATAATTCTAACACAATTACGGTTGGCAAGACTGGCAATTTTGGTAATAGAACTCAGACGCGTACGAACATTACCGAGGCAACCAACAAGAACAATACTAATACTAATACGGATAATGAAAATAACGATGCTACGAATGTTGCTCATAGTAGTGATAAGAGGATGAACACGAATAACAATCACAATAACAATCATAATGCGTATACGAATAACACATACAACTGATACGAACATCATGAATACGAATAATTCGACTTCTATTAAACTGAGAAAGAAGTGCATATCAACATTAGTACTACTCTGAATCGTACTAATACTACGACGAAGCATGTGACATCACGAGCAATGGTAATACTAATACTGCTGCTAATCGTGCTATTAATATTAATATTAAGAGCACCGCCAAGATAACAACTAGTATTAGCGTTACTCGTAACAATTGTTCGTAATGCTACGAACAAGAGTATTCATATTAATACACATACGAATGCGACGATTCGTAATACACATAAGAATCCTAATTCTATTATTTGTAGAGTGGTACGACGATTCAGAAACATGCCAATATCACGAATCGTAGGACGACACATAACGATACGACATTTAATACTACGAAGAAGACACATACCAATACAAACAGTATTACTAAGCATACAAATGTTTGTAACACCCAGAGTAATACTAGGAAGACAAATGCGAATCAGCATCATACTACTAGTAGTAGTAATACGATTTTAAACGACACTACGGAGAGCAATGCTTACTGTAATCGTACAAAGACTCAGCATAAAACTACTAATGCTGATCGGGGGAAACATGATACTGATAATAAGCGCATTACTCGTACTGATAGGAAAAGTAAGGTAACGAATGGTACACATAATTTGTAGTATTGACAAGCATACTAGTAAGAGTAATCTTTATGCCAACATTGGTATCAATAATCATAACCATACTACTATCAATAATATGACTCGTATTGTATGCTACCAACACTATTAACAATACGATTGGTAGGATGATGATGAGGAGGAGGCGGAGGAGGAGGAGGAAGAGGAGGACGAGGAGGAGGAGGAGGAGGAGTAGGAGGAGGGGGAGGAGGAGGAGGAGGAGGAGGAGGAGGAGGAGGAGGAGGAGGAGGAGGAGGGGGAGGGGGTGGGAGGAGGAGGAGGAGGAGGAGGAGGAGGATAAGGGAGGAGGAGGAGGGAGGAGTAGGAGGAGGAGGAGGAGGAGGCGGAGGAGGATGAGGATGAGGATGAGGATGCTGATGATGCTGATGATTGATGATGATGATGATGATGATGATGATGATGACGAGAAGGAGGAGGAGGAGGAGGATGTTGAGGAGGAGGGGGCAGAGGAGGAGGAGGGCGGCGGAGGAGGAGGAGGAGGCGGAGGAGGAGGAGGAGGAGGAGGAGGAGGAGGGTTTGCACCCCCCGATGCCTTGGGCGTCGGCCGCGCACACCTCCATGCTCCGCCGGCTTTTATGGTGTCTCACCGCTCGGCCCTTCGGCTTTCGACTGACCTGCCGTCCTTCCGCGAAGGGAGCCTTTGAGGCAAACAAAGGAGGACAAACAAATCATGAGGAAGAGGAGGAGGCAGAGGAGGAGGAGGAGGATGAGGATGAGGATGAGGGTGAGGATGAGGATGATAATGAGGATGATGCTGATGCTGATGCTGCTGCTGCTGCTGCTGCTGATGATGATGATGATGATGATGATGATGATGATAATAAGCTGATGATGATGGATGGTGATAATGATGTTGATGGTGATAATGATGATGATGATGATGATGATGGAGGAGGAGGAGGAGGAGGAGGAGGAGGTACGAATTCGTGCTCCGCGCAGTGGACATTGCCCGCAAGATGAGGATGGACTGGGATGCGGAGAGGGATGCAGAGCTTTCACAGGACCCCCCCGCGCGGGAGCAGGGCCAGGACGTCCGCGATCACGGCCTCTGCCACCAGTGCCGCAGCCGCGCCCAAGCGCTCTTGGCGCCGCCGCCGACGTGGCCGCGCGCGAGGGGCGCGGAGCGGCCGCAGCCACCGCTGGCGCCCCCGCCAACGGGCAGCAACGGTGGCCTCCGCGGGGGCCTCGGGGCCCTCTTGGCCCGTCTTCCGGTCCTCTCGGGCCCGAACACGCGGCACCTCTTGGCACAATCCAGGGACCACGCGGGGAGCCCCGCCAACTCTTGGAATTTTGGGTCCGGGCCTTTTCAAGACTCCTGAGTCCTGGGTGCTGAGGCTCCAGGGATTAGGCAGAGGACATGATGACACGCCCAAGCCGTGCCCAGTGGAATGGTGGCGGATTTTCCTACTACTGTTTGGGATCCCAGTCCGCAGAAAAAGAGGCTTCCGCTGTTTAAAGAAAAACCTTCGGAGGTTAGCGATCTGCTGCCGTCCGCTCCATCAGGCGCGCGTGCGTCGGCGGCGACGCCGAGCGGAACCTTCCGCGCTGATCGGTCAGAGTCGTCGCGTGGCACCTCCTGCTCCATGCGGGGTCGCCGCGCAGCGGCGCGCCGCCAAGGCAGCTGCAGCAGCAGCATCAGTCCGACACGGGGCGCCCGTGAGTGTCGCAGCACGCGCCGCCGCCGCCATGGCAGCGATCGCATTCCTCCTCCTCCTCCTCCTCCTCCTCCGCCTCCTCCTGCTCCCTCTCCTCCTTCCTTTCCTCCTCCTCCTCCTCCTCCTTCCCTCCTCTCTTTCCTTGGGCCAGGCCCCTTCCCGTGTTGCCGCCGCCAGCGGCCATTCCACGCGCGCCCGATGGAGCGCATGTGGCTGGAGCCAAAATGGCAACGGATGATGTTCATGACGATGATGAGGATGATGGTGATGATGAGGATGGTGATGGTGGTGGTGGTGGTGGTGGTGGTGATGGTGATGGTGATGGTGATGATGATGTTTTGATGATGATGATGATGGTGATGATGGTGATGTTGATGGTGATGATGATGAGGATGAGGATGAGGATGTGATGATGATGTTTTGATGATGATGATGATGATGATGATGATGATGATGATGATGATGACGATGATGATGATGATGATGATGATGATGATGATGACGATGCTGATGATGATGATGATGATGATGATGATGATGATGATGATGATGGTCACGATGACGATGATGGTTGCCACATGGTGATGGTGATGTGGATGGTCCGTAGGATGAAACTGAATCATGATTGGGGAGGAGAAGGGGCATGAGAAGACGGTTGAGGAAGAGGACGATGATTTGGGTTGCGTTCCGATTGCTGGCCCGAATCGGGAGGGAGGCCGAAGGCGATGCAGACGACGTCTTCAGCAAGAGGTGGCCTCTGCCGTCGTCCCCAGGGTCGAACTCCACGGATCGGTGGGCGAGGCTGCGCGGAGCCTCCTTTTCAACATGAGCGCTGTTACCGCAAGTGCTTGCGCACCTTTCCCCGCGTCCATCCTCAGTGGCGCCAGTGTCTTCTCTGCTTCCTCCAACTCCAGGGAGAGAGGCACATGCCTCTCTCCGTCTCTCTCTCTCTCTCTGTCTCTCTCTCTCTCTCTTTTTTTTTTTTTTTTTTTCTCTCTCTCTCTCTCTCTCGTTCTCCCTCTCTCTGTTTAGTATACTTAATGCGAAAGGACGTTTTCGACCCTCGGTAGGGACGCTCACGATCGGACCGAATGCGTACCCCCTCTTGGGCCTTATCTTCCACATCCGAGATCTACGTCATCGTAGTCATATCAAGGCTCTCCTGCTCGATCATCCATATCTCGCGTGGCAGAGTCAGGGAGATCAGGGCGCCTGACTGAGCTTCAGCCCGTCGGCCAATCCGTTGACGCTTCTGTTTTGCAGTCCGCGTGAATCTCAGGAGCGCGTCCTTCTTTGGCGCCTCATACAAGACTCGTCAAACAGCGCGGAACTTGTTTGGTCAGCGGGGGTGTCCGAATTCCGACATCCCCATCGCAGCTTTGAAGGCAACGGTTTTGACAAGCGCTTGACAAATCGAGCCCCACGTCATCCACTCGCGTTTCTGAATATGTTTGACGAGGCTCGTAGGGCCGTCTTGGCCCGTGGTTGGGCTGTTTGGAAGAGTCGACACCAGACAGCTGTCCTGGGGGGCTCAGGGGGCATCGAATGCCTTCTGGACTTCTGGAAGCCATTCTGGTCGTCGTCGTCGTCGTCGTCGTCGTCGTCGTCGAGGACAGAGGAACTGGACGTTGTTGCACTCGTTGGGCCTACTGGGGCTTCTTCGTCGCTACGGCCAGATCCGCATCGAGATCCTGGACCGAACGCGCTCCAGGGCAGGTTCGGATGTGACTCGATATTGATTTTGGCCCAAGGTCATGCTGCTTGCTGGAGCGCCTGCGTGGGCTGAGCAGGCGGACGAAGTTCGTATCAGTTGCCGTGTCTTCGGACGAGGCTCGGCAGTTCTCGTCAGTGGGAGGACATACTCACACCCCGCCGTCGGAGGTTGCCGGAGGTGACCCTGGCCCAGGGTGGCCGTTTCTGTTTCAGCGAGGCCCAGATGACCTCCAGAGGCCCCCATCTCGAGGCCCAGAGGGGCCCCCATGGGGTCGAACATGTGGCGCGATAGGTGGCGGCGCCTTGTGCCAAGGCCACCTCTGGCAACCTCCGCAGGGCAGCCGCGGGATGCCTGTCTCCGTCGTGCCGGCTGGCGAGGTCGGCGGCGGAGAGTGGCCGCTCGCCTGGCGTGCTGGTTCGGGCAAGGCCGCGGAGCAGGAACCGGCAGTCGCGAGTGCCACCACGACGGACACCGAGCAGCACGAGGCCCTGGACTCTGTCGCTTTGAGGGGCCACCATCTCGAGCTCGTCCTCGCGAGGGCCGTGCCGACTGTGCGGGAGATCGACCACCTGTGGGAGTGCCTCGGCGAGCTGGCGCGCTCCCTCGCGTCGCTCGGGCGAGTCTGGCGCCTATCTCCCTTCGGAAGCGTGAGGAATATGCTCCTCACCCGCGGCTCTGACATCGACGTCACCATCTACCGGTCGGACGCCCAAGACGAGGGCGATTCCGCCGCGGCGGTGCGGGTCCTTCAGGGGAGTGTGCTCTCGCTGCTGTCACAGAGCCCGAGGTTCGAGGTCGTCAGGCTCGTCTCTGGGGCCAGGATCCCCGTACTGAGCCTGCGCTTCGACGGCGCCGTGGATGTGGACCTCTCGTGCCACAACACGGAGCCGCTGCGGAACTCGCAGCTGCTCCGCGCCTACGCACAGGCGAGCCCGATGGCGCGGGCTCTGGCGCTACTGGTGAAACTCTGGTCCAAGGCCGCCGGCGTATGCGGGGCGCAGTGTGGGCACCTGACTTCCTATGCCCTGGCACTGATGGCGCTCTACTTCCTGCAGGTCCACTCAGACTTCGGGCTGTTTGTGCTCTCCACGCAGCTGTTCGATGGCTTCGGGTCCCCGCCCGACGCACCGCGCTGGGAGTGCCGGCCCTCGCTGCCCGAGGCGCTGCGGCAATTCTTCGCGTTCTACTCTCAGGAGTTTGCATGGGGCAGCGAGGTCGTCTCGGTGCGGCTCGGCCGGCGGTGTGCGGCCAGCGACCCAGAGTTCGCCCGGCTGCCGAACGCCAGGGACCATTTCCACGCCCGGGAATTTCCCACAGCCACCATTTTGGAGGCGTGGCCCCGAAGGCCTCGGGCGACGCTGGATGCCGATGACTTACCGCCCCCTGGAGGGCGGACTTTCAGAACGCCCAGCGCTCCGCGAGGTTCCCAGGGGGGCGCGTCTCCACCCCGGTTGGATGTGGATGAAAAGTCCCGGGCGTTGGCCATCGCCTGCATGTGGAGGACCCTTTCCTCACGGGCAGGAACCTCAACTGCGTGCTCGGCCTCGAGCAGGAGGCCCAGCTGCTGGCGGCGCTGCACGCCGCTGAGGCCGCGCTGCGAGGCGGCAGCATGCCTCTCGGCCTGGGCGGCGAGGAGGGCCGCGCGGCCGCTGGGCTGGCTGCCGCGGGGGGCCGACGGGGCGGCCTCCTGGGCTGGGCCCAGTAGGCCCAAGGAGGCGTACGATGACCATCAGGGGGCGCGGGCTGGGCCAGTGCCCTGCGGCCAGGCCTCGGCGCCCGTCGGCCGTGGCCAGGCGGGTCTCGCCTCGTGATCCAGGCCGTCCGAGTGGGGCCGACCGCCGGCGGCTGGGCGGGGTGGTTGTCAGTGCTGGGCGGAGGTGGGAACCCCGAGGCTCGCCGAGCTGAGGTGGGAAGCGCCGATGCAGAGACTTGCGCGGCAGCGCCCGTCGGCACCGATTGTTCTGCGTTGTGTGCAGCGCAGAGTGCAGGCCGCCTTGGGGGAGTGTCCTGGCGGACTCGTCAAGGCTGCCGCCCCTGGCGGACTCATCAGGGCGCCGCCCGTGCGCGCACCGAGCGGGGAGGGGGAATGGCCCTGGAACCAATGGGTGGGAAGGGGGGCCCACCGTCATCTGCGGCTGGCCTGCGTCCCTTTTGCTATAAGCAGCGTGGTGGTCTGGAGCTCTGCGCTGGGAGCGGGAAGGAGACTACGGGGGGGATGTCACGCGTACACTTGCTGCCTCTTTGATGCCGCCGTCGTATCCGTCCTGGCGAGCCCCCGGTGGCAGGAGCGCTGGCACCGCACCGTTATCGAAAAGGCACGGAGGGGGCTCGAGAGGGGGGATTGGGAAGAGGAGAGGGGTGATGGGTGGGAGAGGATGGCCCGCATGCCTCTGCAAGCTGCCTCTTTGGGCCTCGACCGCCTCTCGTGCCTTAGCCTCGACAAGCAGTGCATGCACCTTGTCGACCCCAAGAGGCCGCCGCCATGCCTTTCTAGGGAAGGCCTGGGCCGAAGGCGGACCCTACTCGTCCAATCATGGCGGAGGCCATGCGTGGACGCGCGCCCGCTCCCCCCCCCCTCCCCCTCCCCCTCGAGCTCGAGCTGGTGGCAGCGGGGCTCGTGCACGGAAGTCGCCGCCAGCGGGGAGAACAGCAATCCAGCAGGACCGGAGGCGACGAAAGGGGCGAATAGCCCAGGGGCGGGCATTACACGCACTCATCCAGGAGTGCCGCCGAAGGCATGGAGCATTGGCGCAGATCGGAGGAAGGACGGGGCGACCATCACGGCCAGGGCAGAGCCTTGGTCTGCTCGCCAGGCGGCCGAGGGGTGGAGGCTGTCTGGCTTGAGGTTTGTGCCATCGAACAAGCCACCGCCGCGCGCCCAGGCAAATGCTGAGGCAGGAGAGTTTCGACACGTCTTGCTTGCTGACCGCACAGGGGTGGAGTCTCACAGGCCAGGCGGCCTGAGGGCTTCTGGCCCTCCTCTGATCCTTATCTCCGCGCGCATCCTCTGACTCTGTCCTCTTCTCGTCTCCGCCCGCCCTGCTCCCACCCCCAGGTCTTCCACTCCTCCCGACGGCGCCTCCTCCTCGAGGGGGCAGCAGCTGTCGACCGCCGCGCGGGACGGCTGCCCGTTTCCTGGCCTGGCCGGGAGGGCTTGCGTCGACCAAAAACGAACGACTCACCCACCCACCTACGGCCCTCCATGATGCGCTGCGTCACATCGGGAGCCGAGCGTATACCACGCAAAAGCCCAAGCCAGAATTTGTGGTATGTGCGAAGGCCGGTGGGGCCGCAGGTGGGGTGGTGTCGTTTGTTTTTCGGTCCACTGCGAGCCAGACCTGTGGGGCCCGGCGGGGTTCTGCGTGCTGCCCCCACCTGCAGGGGTTTGGAGGCGTTACTTCCAGGGGTCGCCCGTTTCCGCCGGCCCCCCCCCCCCAAAACGCAGCGCAGCTGAGGGCACCGTGGAAGGCACCCTCAACCCTCATGGAGAGACAAAAGGTTTCAGCCGCTTGGGGACAGGCTCCCCTTCCAACGGTGGAGCACTGTATACTAAACCGTTCCTCGTCCGCTGACCCCTCCTTTTGTGCCCAGCCCTGGTTCTGCTCTCTTCCACCTGATGGTTTCACCCAGAGTGGACCCGCTGGGAAGCAGTTCGCCCCAGGGTCACGCTTACCAGACCCAGTGTCGTCAACCAGAGTCTGCGCAGAGATAATTGTAAGTTTCACCCAGCATCATATCTCAGTACTCTGAGAGAGGGGCAACATCCCCACACTTGCGTCGAGGCGTTTGCAATTTGTTCTTCGACCTCTGCTGTCTGTCCAGCTAGCTCTGGGTCAATCGGCAGATCGGAGTGATGGCTAGCTTCTTACCCGAGTACACGCATCAAGCATACATATATATATATATATATATAGAATCCTTTCTTCCTTTGCTCCCTGCTTTTGCGAGCGATTTGACAGTTCCGTTTGGTCATATCGGGCCGGACGAAAGGGGGGGATTGGGAAAGAGGGGGTTACGAAATCTGCTGCAAGCAGCTGGTTTCGGCCCCACCGAGGGGCCCATTCCTCGATACATAGCCGTCTCCGGCGCCAGGAGGCGCCGGGGAAATCAGCTACGTGAGCTGATTCTCACCTCCCCTTTGCTATCCCTCCCTTTCGCCCGGCCCGATCATAGCTCTAGCTGTTCATGCGTGTTGTAGTTGTTTTTGCCAGGACTAATTTGCAGTCAGTGTAATGCTTAACGTGCGTTCCAACTTTCGGTGCGCAGCGGAGACTCCAGCACACTACAAAGAGCCAGTTTGATGTTTGAGCACGACGCTCAGCATGCATTGTCAAAGCGAGGTCTCTGATCGAAAGTCCGCGCGGATTTCTTGGATCGGCGCCGGCCCCCTCCCTGGTGCGCGGAGGGCGCCAGGAGCAGTGCCGGAGGCGCCGCCACGGGGGTCGGCGCCGATCTCAGAACTCTGCGCGGACCTCCGAAAGTTATGTTTCCGCTTTCCGTTCCTTTTCCTCTGCCGTCAAGACGCTGAAATACGGACCACCTGGGGCCAAATAGGGGCTCGGGTTTTCGGACTGCTCCTCGGGCCGAGGTCGGGGAGCCTCTTCCTGGCCGAGGCTCGTCGTGGCCGAGAGGAGTCCCTGCGCTTCTTATCCAGCGCTCCTCACGGTGACACGGTAGCTGTGCTCCTCCCCGAATCCCCCCCCCCTCTCCTGCCGCTCGGGCCCGCACGCGCGCGCTCCCCTTGATGCCGCGCCGGGCCGCGACCTCCGCGCTGCCCTGTGCGCCTCGGTCCGCTTCCGCCACGGGGGGCGGGTGGGTCGGGGACACGGCAGACGTGCGAGACGGACGCCATGCAGGCCTCCCAAGCCCAGCTCTCCGACGACCTGAGTTTTTCGATCCAGGCGTTTTTCCTCGATTTCGGCCCTCGCATCGGGGGCAAGGTTAGGGCATAGGCTCAGGGGGGGAAGTATCGACCCCCAATCGCCCATTCACCGCCGATAGGAGCCCGATAGCCCACCTCGCCCAGAAACGTGCATATTAGCCATCGGGGTTCTATCGCCAATCTGTCGGCGATGTATTGCCGATTCCAGGTCGATGATTCCCCCCCTGAGCCGGTCCCCCCCATCGTTCGCCCTCAGGGCGGTCTCCGCAGCTTGCGAGGGGGCCCGCACGTGTCAGTGCTAGGCGAGCTTGCGCATGATGTTGTGGGCGCGGCCTGGGGCCTGGTGTCCTGCGCCGTCGCAGTAGTGAAATGCCGTGCCGCGATTCTGGTGGATCGGACAGCCCTGACGGCCTGCAGCGCTCCGGCCGGGCAGAAAAGGGAGAATGGGGCAGCGAGTGCATGTATCAAGCAGACATGGGAAGCCGTTAGGGTCGTTGAAGCCCACGGTCACGCTCTTGAGACCTTTGGAGAAGTCACGCGGGGATTCCCAGGAGCGCGCGAGGGCGCCTCACACTTCGGGGTCTGGTCTCCTTGGAGAGTGTTTTCAAACCCCTCTCTCTCTCTCTTTCTCTCGCTCCCTCTCTTAGTCTCTCTTTCTCTCATTGGTCTCTCTTTTATTGTAGGCCTGTGTTTTTCCTGATATTCTGGTTACACTTCTCTGATAGGTGTGTGTCTCTACCTCGATATCTGCTATTACCCATATCCAAATATTTTTTTGTTATTGCTTAGACGCCTGCGGACCTTCACTCACACTCATCGCGGGGTCCATCGCAGACCCGCTCTTCTATACGGGGTCCATCACAGACGCGCTGTCCCTCACGCAGACCCAGCCACGTCACTTCCTTGCACAGACCCACTCAGACTCAGATTCACTCGGACTCACTCAGGGAATGAGCCTCAGACGCAGACTCACTAATACACATTCAGACTCTCTCACTCCGACGCACTCCTTCCTCAGTCAGATTCACTCGAACTTTTTTGGTGGTCCTCTGCTCACCGCGATGTCGCAGGCGTGGCACTTGGGCACCCTAAGATGGAGCTTCCATGGGGGTATGACACGGACCCGTTCGCGCCCAGATGGTGGGGTGTTTGGAGCGATTTGCTTGTTTCTGCTCTCCAGACTTCTTCCCCATATCCTAAGATCGGATTCGTGTGATTCCCTCCGTAGCCATTGGCTCAAGCTGCGGCGCGCCTTGTATTAGGTTCGATTTGTTTTGATCTTCGGTTGCTTCCATGGCCGAGGAACTCATTGTTCGCCTCCATGGCCAGGCTCTGCGCATGATCTGCGACACCACGGGTCGCGACTTCGCTGGCCTTGGTGTGGCCGCACGCGCGCTCTTCAAAGACAAGTCCCAGCGGTCGTTGCGGCGGAGGCTCGAGCACGTCGACACCAGCTTCGCCCTCGTTCGGCACATCAACCGTGTCAAAGCAGAGTTCCTCCTGACGGAGCTCGCCAATACGCTGGGCCAGTCTGGTGGCGTCGTCTCGCCGAACCTGCAGGAGGAGAACCAGCCTCGCGATGGTACTGATCCCCATCATCGGCTTCAACTTCCTGCAGGTGCTACTCGCGATCTGAATGTTCCACATGGCGCTGATGGTGCTGTTTCCGCCGAGCGACTCGTGGACGTTCATTGTGACCTTCCTCCCGAACCGCGTGAAGCAGTTCGTGCTGGTCCACGTGATGACGACTCGCCTCCAGTTCCTGATGCTGCTGAGCGTGTCGTGGATGTCCCCGGTGACTTTCCTCACGAATCGCGTGAAGCTGTTCGTGCTGGTCGACTTGACGACGGCTTGCCTCCAGTTCGTCATGCCTCTGCTGAGCGACTCGTGGATGTTCGCGGCGACCTCTCTGCCGAATTGCGCGAAGCT